GTTATCAAGGGGTAAATATGCCTGAATTATATGATAAATCACAAAGAGTATAATATTAGGATTAATTAATTAAAATCTCAGCTTTCCATCCCACTCCAGCTAATTAAACCTTTAATGCATATAAGATATTTTGATATTTTAGAGAGTATTATTTTGCTTAGAAATTTTGTTAATTCAGAATTGCCTGGTAATCAAATTAAATTATTATTTTATTTCATGTATTAATGATCACATATTAACAAGTACTATCTAAATGGCCAAATCCCTTATATTTTATTGAGATTGATTCTTGCTGGCTATGAAAGAGAACAAGGATTGATGTCTGAATTTAACATTAGATTATAGCTAATAACTCACACTTAATTAGTTTAAATAATGTATGCAGATCCATCAAATTTACCTAGAGGTTCATAGAATGATGAGTTTCCCATTGCAATATCTTATTGACTTATCTTTTTTACTTCTATATCCTATTTTTAAAATGCCACTTCTTTAAGATCATATGTTTACTACTATTTAATGAAAGAACAATATTTCTGAACTTTGCTACAAAATTATTATGTATGGCACCACTTGTGTTGATAAAAATAGTAAATTTCATGCCTTCCCCCTTTTTAACATACTTTTTTGTGCCTTGTAGGTCAGTGAAATTCCTGAAGAGTTGCCTGACTTGACTAATCAATATGCTGTTTTTTTGTCAAGGACAGAAAGAATTCCTAAACAACCAGATAAGGTAAGAAGGCTTCTCTATGATCAAGCCTATTTGTATCATAGGAATTCTGGAGGAGATTGCATAAGGTGTGCATTATATTACGGCGTGTGTGTCGTGACCTGCTCTGATATCCTTGGTTATTCTGAGCACTTTTATAATTTTAGATCTCAACAAAAACTTCCAAGTGAAGAAGTACAGCATTGCTCTGTGAGAGAATGCCACATGGAGCAATGCACACATCAGAAAATGTTCCTTCTTACTACATGAGGTTTACCTGAGGCTCAAAATTGTTGATTTGTGCATTTCCCCCCCACTTTTTAACTAGAGTGCATCTGGAAATTTAAGAATCATGTGTTAATCTCTATTTTAAACTGTGATAATAGACTTTTTTTTGCAATAGAAATTCCATTCATTAGATTAAAGACTAATATTGAATAAATTGACAAAAAGTAATGTGGATAAAGTAAAAAAATAAAAGCTAGATTTATTCAGATTAAATCTAGTAAAGTATTAAAATAAAATTTGCAGTTATGACTTGGGCATTAATAACGATGGCACAATGTAGTCTTGGGATTATTAGATGTTGCTAATGTCAATTTGAGGAGAAATTTGACTATTGTTGCAAAATATTTTTAAAATTAAAACAACAGTGAAATAATAAACAACAGGATAATCATCAGGTTTGAAAATGTTGTCAGCGCATCTGTGCTCCAATGTTCATCGCGGCACAGTTCACAATTGCAAGGAGTTGGAAACAACCCAAATTTCAATCAACTGACGAGGGGATTTAGCATCGCTAAAAAGCAGTGATGAATGTATGAAGCATATTGCTGCATGGGAAGAACTGGAGGAAAATTATGTT